AACTACCTCAACCTATGAAACTGAATGTGAAAATGAAATGATGGAATATTATTTTTTAATCTCATTAAATTGAAAGTGTTCCCGTAAATATTATATTAGGAGAGGTTATCATGCCATGCCATTTTTTTATTTTTTAAAAATATTTTTATTATTTTAATTTCATGTGTATGAGTGTATTGCTTGCATGTAGGTAGGTGCATCTGTGTTGTGCAATGCCCGAGGAGATCAGAAGAGGCATTGGATCTCCTGGAACTGTAGCTATGGACAATTGTTAGCTGCCATGTGGGTTCTGGGAACCAAATCCAGGTCCTCTACAAGACCCACCAATGAATGATCTTAACCACCGAACCATCTCTCCAGCCCAGGTACCATATATATCATTTTAGATTATTTCAGAGGCATTATACAAGCTAATAAAATAAATTAAAAAAACAGGTTGTTTAAAATTAGAAAGAACCAAATTATCACATGATGATTATACCTCATAATAAACATAAGAATGTGTGAGACTGATTCTACTAGGGACAAGAAGAGTAGAAAGAAAAACATACATTGTACTTGGAGAGGAGACCACATTATAAAGCTGTAAGTTTCTACTAAATTATTCTATAAGTTTAAAAGCTGGTCTGATAACTCCATACTCACACAACACAAAAACCATGAAAATAAAGCAACAGCGGAGGTTAACCAGGGCAGACATGAGACATACTACAATTCTGTGGCACTTAAAACAATATGATACTAGAACAGGAAGGCAGAGGCAGATTAAGGGACTGAATTAGAGAGCACAGAAATCAGAGCAAGCACATAGGGGAATTATCAAATGAGGGTACTGCATATGAAAGGGCAAAATTTAATTTTCAATAAATGCCAGTTATAAAAATGATAGGTCATCTGAAACAAAGTAATATTGTCTCTCTGCTTCATTCTTTAAATGGAAAAAAATTCTCTAAGATTTAACTGTAAAAATGAAATAAAGACAAAGTGAAGGAAAACTGGAGGTGGTTTTCCTGTAGTCATGGTTTGGAGAAGACTTAATTATATGAAATCTAGAATGGTATTAAAAATTGATAGACTTAGACAAGAGAGATGACTAAGTAGTTAAGAACACTTGTGGCTCGCCAGACTTGGATTCAGTTCCCAGCACACATGGCAGCTAACAACCATCCATAACTCCAGTTCCAAGGGATTCATTGCCCTCTTCTGGCCTGGGCGGGTATTGCATGCATAGTTGCACTTACATACATGCAAGCAAAACACTCATATACATAAAAATATATTTTTAATGGATAAATTTAATTACATAAGGACAAAAAAATCTTCATGCTTCAAGGCACCATAGATAAAGTAAAGAAAAAATAGAATTCTGTGTCACAAAAAATGGCTAATTTCCTGGACTAATAAAGACTTGATATCACATTAATAAGAAAGTAGATAGAAATCTCAACTGAAAAGTAACAAAAATCATATAAGCAGATACTTAACAGAAGACAATTTCATGTTTTACAGTATACTTGAAAATATGTCTAGCATTACTTATAATTTTAAAAATGTAATACTATGCCTGGGAATATGGCCAGGTGGGAGCATTTATCTAGCAAGTGCAAGATCTTAGGTTCAAGTACCACAAAAATAAAACAAAAACAAAATCACAACAAAAATACATAAAATTCCTTTGGTAAGGATATGGAAGCTAATTTTTTACATTTCTCTCTCTCTCTCTCTCTCTCTCTCTCTCTGTGTGTGTGTGTGTGTGTGTGTGTGTGTGTGTGTGTGTGTGTATACATGCGTACCAAATATGGAGGCCAGAGATGACTTGTAGGAGTTAGTTTTCTCCTTCCACTATGTAGATTCTTGGAATTGAACTCAAATTCCAGGCTTGGAGTCAAACGCTTTTACCTACTGTTCCCTGGCAAGCTAATTTTTAAATTGTATTGATTAAGTATAACTTGGTTCAACATTCATTTTGGCAGACAACTTTGCAGTCACCATAGTTTGAATATATATACTGTTGTCTTAGCAATTAAACTTCCAGAATTTACCTTACATGTATTCATGAATGTGCTAAGTATCACATGCACCTGTTTTGTTTGAAAGAGAAAACATGGGCATTAATGGGAACTGGATAAATAAGTCTGATACTTCAGACAGTGCAATGCTAGGCAGTCGCAAATAAGAAGGCCATTTGACTGTGTACTGACATGAATGAATCTCCAAGATAATCTCCAAGATGAAGTGAGAGAGAAGGGTGCAGAGTTAAGTATGCTTTCATTCTGTTTAAGCAATACATGTTTATATGTGCAAGCATATGCATTGATATGTGTGTAAAAATATCTCCCAAACAGAAGATACTCTGTGGAGTGATAATAGGTAAGTCTTATGTGGAAGGGCTCAATTTTAATTTATACTCCATTGCAGAACTTTTTAATTTTATACTCTCTCTCTCTCTCTCTCTCTCTCTCTCTCTCTCTCTCTCTCTCTCTCTCTCTCTCTCCCCACCCCAAGATGTGCAAAGCAGCTATTAAATGTTCCATTATTTTCTCAGCTGGAGGACTTTCCTGTCTCCCATCATTCTGTGCTTGATTAAGTAAATAATTATTTTAAAGAAAAGAAGCAATGGGAATGTGGGACAACTCACCACTATTTTAAACAACAATACAATAAAATATCAAAATACAAATATTTTAAAAAATTGGAAGGAAAGGTCAGCAGTGTTTATGTTGAATGGAAGTACAAGAGATAATTTTGAGAATTACAAAATTTATCCCATAATCTATGTGGCTGGAATTAATTTTTAAGAATTATGCTTTTCTTAATGTTTTGCTACTCACCTGATTCCTGTCCCTGGCATTTGCATATCGAAACCTCTGGATGTAATAAAAGACCAGCCATGCGAGGGAAATGATCATCAGGACAATGAAGGAAATGGAGACAAACACAACCGATGTGCGGCTCACATATTTCTGCAAGTTCCGGGTTCCAATGGTGATGTGCATGGTCACGGTGATGTTTCTTTCCAGCAGGCTCACTATCTCTTTGCCTTTTGGCTCAGGAATCATTATAGCCACGATATCTTCTACACCTGTGGTGAGAGGGTCAAGGAAGCCATCAATGAGGGTCAGGGGAGGGAGGAAACCACAAAATGTTCCGGTGGAGCGCCGTGCAAATGATGATACGACTTCCTGTTAGCCAGGGCCAGCCATGTTGTGAAGCTCCATCATTTTGGTTAAACGGTGCCCGTTCCCTATACTGTAGTAATTTGATTTTCAGTTCCTTTTTTTTTTTCCCCTAGATTCTTGTCCTCTCCACTTTCATAGCTGATTCAGAGGCAGCCTGATATAAGGAATGCACTATGAGCTACTCATCAATCACAGGGCATAGAAACTCCTCCCTCTGATACCTATAAGAAGGGATCCTGAACTTTCCTCAGACCTCCTTCCACACTGCCTTCTGTCCACAGCATTAATGACTCTTCTAATAAATCTCTTACCCAAAAGGACAGATTGTCTCAGTGTTTCCCTTAAACCTCAAAACTTTCACTTTCAAGAATCCCATGCAGAAACGGGCATCTTGCCTTCCTTTACTGCCTAGACATGCTGCGGTTTCATATATGCCCAAAGTGCTTAAATTGAAGTTGTAATTCCGAAACCACCAGGATCATGGTCAGGGAACTCTGTTCAACTCTCTGAGGTGCTGACCATGGATCTGATAAAGGTGGACCCTTCCACAGATCCCCACAAGACAGCAAAAGTCACTTGGCACCCCATGACAAGGGTTAAAGCCTTACGTCACCTGTCTCAGTGCTCTCTCCCTTTCCTCTCACATACTCTGTAAACACTCAATTACAGATCTCTGAACACCATTTTTACAGTAATTTTCTTCAACAGTGACTACCCAAGCAAGCAACCAACCAAAAACGAGTTCTTAAGGAGCTCTGATGTGATTGGCTACCGTAAAATAATGGTCTTAGAACTATTTTCTGCTTGTTTTAACTAAGTAAATGGAAATGGCTATGTGACTCCATGCCAAGAAAGCTGGAGGTAGATAATTCCATAATTATCCCCTTCTCATATATTCCCACCTCAGTGTCCCTGTTATTGGATGGTGTGACACAAGAGGCAGTTTTCTTGGACTTGAGTTATGTGGATCATTTCCCTATGCTGCATGACACTGTGTGGGGGTTAACATGCTGGTTTCAAGAGCTTCTGCCCAGGGTCCTTTCTGGGCATCAGATTCAAATGAAACACTGTGGCTGAGACATGGAACAGAATTCCCCCAATTCAAATCCACAGGGAAGACTGTACACTGACTGGAGCACAAAGCGCCACTTCTGTGTGGAAATATCTTGATGTGACTACAAATGAAAGTGGCCAATGTGCAATAAGGATGGTGCAGATTCAGGGCAAAATGAGACCTTACAGTTGCTGTTTAAAGGTGACTTATTCACAAGCTGAGGCTGGGCAACCAGATAGGACTGGAACACAGCAGTCAGCTGGGTGGAACCAGGTGATATTTGCTGAGGGTGTTGCAGGTCTCTTGTAAAGTGCTTAAGGTTTTCTTTGACTTTAATCTCTATATAAAGGTTTTCAGTCTCACAATTTTGATAGTGCCTCATACAGGCTTATTAATACTTTCAAAACAAACTAGAACCATTTGTTTGTCACTATGAAATATTTTATTTCATTTAAAAACTGAGCTACACACAAAAGATGTCTGTGTGGAACAGCCATCAGTTATATATCTATCCATCTTTAGTACTCCTGTTAGGTTGGTAGGGTGGTAAAATCATCAAGCCATTGGGAGTTAAGGTTTAGCTGTTGTCTTTAAAAATTATTAAAAATGATGGTTTGAATTCCATCTTAGCTGCTTTTACCCAGAGTACCACAGCCCCTTCTCATGTGTTTATTTTGGCTAACAGCTACATGTGGTCTGGCATTTTGTGAGGGATTAAGTCCACTCCCAGATTTTGACTCTACAGAAATATGATCTTCTTTGCATACTGGACTAATCTGGCTGCAGAGGTTCATCCATGGGCTGCAGCTTTTTTTTTTAGTGATATCTGAGTACTGGTAGGATCACAATTTTTCCATTTATTTCCTTATCTATATTCTTTAGGCAGGCCTATTTAAAGTTCTAGATTAGATTTAGTGAGGACAGGATTTTGGAGTTAATGATGAGGCTTTCTTTGCTTATATATGAGCAAGTTTATATTTTAATAGACAAATTAATATATTCCTTAATTGCTTTCAGTTTTAGTATCCTGCTTAAAAGGTTTGTCACCATTCAAGATCACAGAAGTACTCATTTCAAATATCTATTTGAAACTATAGTTTTAGTTTCCAGGTTTAAATCTTGAGCAACCAAATGTGATTTTTTTTTGGCCCTTTAACAAAATGTTATTTCCTGAGTTCTTTTAATGGATAGCACAGAGATTAAAATGTGAGTTATTTTCCCCTTAAATTTTCAGCTTTATTTTGCACCTTGTGTTTTCTGAGCAGTTGACCTACTTTTTGTTGAATCTGCCCTAGGCTTTTAGTCTTAAAGCTTTTAACCTGTTTCCTACCTGGTAGCCTAAATGCCCTGTAGCTATTCATCCTGCCCTCAACCTACAATTTGTCCGTTATCAACTCAGAGACGCCATAGAGTATAACCATTAAGAACTGGTCTTTGGAACTGGAAATGTTTTAACCCCAGTGCATCACTTTAAAAATAAGTGCTTAAGTTTTGGATCTCCACAAAACTTTGAGTGATTTATTATTTGTTTTCAGGGATCTGAGAAAACATTTTCTCTTTCTGCAGGGTAAGGTATAATTAACTATTTTAAAGTGTTTATTTTAAGCCTAAGTGCCTAGTTACTGCTTGTTGTCTGTACCACCGCTGTGTCCTCATATGTAATGTCCACTGGGAAAGAAAACAATGCCAAAGGCAGTGGAGAGGGTCTATTCATCTGGACCTGAATCTTACTTGTTTTCTATATTCATAATAATTTCCAGAGTTGATGATGTGTTGAGGTATTTTCCTTGTGCTTTAGACTGTATACTATGCATCATAAAGTTACACAATGAATATGAATTTATCCCAATGGAGTCATTAAATTTGGGTACTAGGGGCTGGAGAGATGGTTAGGAGCACTTGCTGTTCTTCCAGAGGACCAGATTTCAATTCCTAGCACCCCCATTCAGTGGCTTACAACCACCTGTAACTCCAGTTCCAAAGGATCCGATCTTTGCTGGATACTGTGGACTCCTGCATGCAGGTGGTACACATAAACACTAGCATGTGTGCACACATGCGTGCACACACACACAAATTAAAAATTAATAAATCCTTTAAGAAATTGTGTACCTAGGGTATCAAAAAATAAAATAAAACAAAAACTAGTAGAGAGTGAAGTGGATTGGGATGAAATACTCTCATCAGTGCACAAAATCCAGGGAATAAAGCTATGTCAGGATCCAGTTTGTTCAAAGGAGACATGTGCACTCTGACCTTTACTTCACTACAGAAGTTTTCCAGGGATAATAACAGTAGTGGACTTGCATCTGTGGGTGTGTGAGAGGCCATAGAAGAGAGAAATGGGCCTGGTGGGGAGCAATGGAGTTTTCTGAGAGAGGACAAGAGCAGTCTCAGGGTTAAACGCTGTTGTAGGTGTCTATACAGTGTGCATTTATGGTACACTAGAGAATGCCCAGGCTCTGGGAAGCGACATTTACAGATAGCATGTTTTGCATGGGTAAACTTCACACAGGCCAAGACATTTGGGTGATGCTATGTCTACCGCAACACCTAGTCACTCTAATACCAAGTGTCTTTTTGGCAACATTACATCAGCCTACTATCTATTTTACTCCCAAATGCACTACATGATTCAGTGTGGTGGGTGACTGTTGTTATGTAAGCACTCTGTTCTGGACAAGATCTTCCGTTCCAGAGCACAATGTGTGGCCAGGACACAAAGGGGCTGACTGCTGGAAGCAGGAGCACCTTGAACTTCAGTACTTCCTCCATCTGTGACAGAGACCACAGTCTCATCTGGTACATGCTGGCAAGTAAGGAGGCAAAAATCTCACAAAGTCAGAGAGTGTTTAATAACAAGAAAAGTCTCTACTTACACATTCAAGCCAGGCTGCTTAACCGCCGCATTAACAGAAATCTTTAGAATGGTGGCTGTGTGCTGAGCATTGTACAGAGCCTGTAGCCCCATGCATCCTGTGCACATTGGGTGGTGTAAATTCTCCTGCCTCCTTCTTCTATAATCTGTACTTCGATCTACTTCATGGTGGGCTCTCTAGGATTTAGGATTAAGGTTTTCATTTGTAGATATTTTCTACTTACACACTTTAAAAATACAGTCAGCTCATTATCATCAATTCTCAGGTGGGAGATATGTGGAATGAGTTTTTTTTTCTTAAAGGTAAAGCACCATGTAAATTGAAAGTTATTACTACTTTCTTCATCGACAAACATTTTTAATAGATACAGATGCAAAAATTCTAAAAAATTGTTTCCCAAATAGAACACAGCAGTACATTGAAATAATTTTCACGCCCAAATGGGATTTATTTTGGGAATGTGAGAATGATTTAATGTCAGAAAACATCTTGACAATTTTTACTACATTAACAAGTTAAAGGAATAAAGCATCTGAAAATCTTGCATAGCATGTCATCCTCTGGTATTTGGTCTGCCTTCCCTTATGGTGCTAGTGGTTTAGGAAGGCATGCAGACTGGAGTGAAAGTATTGATATCCAGGCTCTGTTGCCACTAAGATGCTGCCATGTGATTAATATCTGGCCACTGAGGTATGAGTGGAAATGTTTTCTGCTCCAGGGTCTTTCCCTGTTGTGTAAAAGAAGAATGCTAACTCTGCCACATACATAGAAGTCAACAGAGTATGCTGTTAAAAGCTAGGAGACCATGCAGTAAAACCTAAGATTCAGGGCAACATGTAAAGATAAAAAATTTCCCATCCACTTTCATTCATGAGAAACTAATGGAAAAATGGTCTACCTGTTATAGTGGTAGAAGTCATGAAACAACCAAGAATAAGTTGTTTATAAATGTTAGTACTAAGTGAAGAAA